TTCTGCTGGACAGAGCCATGATGTGTTTTGAGACCAATAACAAGGAAAGCAAACACGCATATGTGGATGAAAAACATCAGTCAACATCATGTAATGTGTGATTTTTAATCTGGTGGATAGACTTCTCAGTCAAACTTGAAATAATAAAGATATGATGGCTTAAAGTGTGATTTGCAGTGCTTGCCCCATTGACTCCAATAGAACTGACACCACAGTCTGAATCCTCAAACGCTATCACTGTCACCATGACCGCCCATTCTTAACAGTTTTCTTGCAAATGACCAGGGACTTTGACAAGTACTCAGAGACGGGGAACTCTTTGAAAATGCACTTTTATGCATCTATAGTTTCTACCTCTGGTATCCTTTAAATTTTAGAAAAAAGCACTTCATGAATCCCTCACTGGGGAAATTCAATGTTTACATTCTGTTGTTGTTATTCATTATTACACACAAAGGCCCAAAACATACACACCTGCACACACAGGATCTATAAGACATGCATTAGTGGAGAGATGTCAGAGCAAGGGAGCAGTTAGGGGTTAGGTGCCTTGCTCAAGAGCATCTCAGCAGTACCCAGGAGGTGTGATGACACCTCTCCAGCTACCAGTCTGCACTTTGTACCAGGGTTCATACGGGACTTGAGTTTCCCAAGCCATGTCCCTATGACTGAGTTAGTCGTGTGATTTGTCCTATTTCTTACTAATATTTTAACACATCTCAGTGTATAAGCATTAACTGCTTCGTATGAACTACTTATGTTGTTATGATGTGCATGTAATCCATAATGGTTTCTTTTATAGAACATATTTTGATCTAAATGAAACTTTCTGAATAAATGCAGCTGAACTATCTTTTCAGATCTTCTTGGCACAGCTTAACTGCACCTTAAAGTTGCCTGACGTCTTCTCTGATCCATATTTTTCATGTATTTCCACCTTATTTCCTTATACTATTGTCATTTGTTTGCTCTTTGTTGTTGTTTCACCACTGCTTTTCCTGTGTACTTTGTATAATAGACATTTATTGCATGTCTGTATTTTCTGAAAGAGGGATTCATCCTGTGTTTGTGAGGTTTCCCCCTTTTTTTTCCTGTTATACATATTTCTAGTAGAGTGTTTCCTGCTCTAAGTGGAGGGTCTAGATCTACGGATGAGGGAGGAGGTGTGTTATTTTGTTTGTAAATCCCTCTGAGACAAATTTGCTCTTTTGGGCTTTGTAGATAAAATTGACTTGACCTATGTTGTTTAAATGCATTTATGTCAAACCCAGTCAGCTCCATAGACGACACCCCTGCATACAGTCAATTTCAAACTACAAACTGATCAGTAATCACCTATACAGATTTTCTATGCAGCAACTGAACCCTGTGAGATCTTCTTTTCTGTGTATCAGATATTAAGGACAACAAAATAAGATGAACACAGTGAATTATCAGTTGCCAAAGGGCCACTGGTAATAAGGTCACCCTGAACAGCATCTGCCTCCACCAAAAAACTTGGTAATTATGAGGATATATTGATGGCTGCAAGTCAGCGGCCTAATGAATTCAGATATTGATCTGGCGACCGTGCCTTTTGACAATGACCCTCCCGTCTCCCAGCCTTCATTCAATAGCAATACAATGGGCTCCAGCTGTGAGATCGGCCATGCTGTATCAGCACAACACCGCTCCGCTGGCACAGGTAGATGTAGTCGTCACATTCAGACAGGGAAATGTGTTGTGCCTTCCAAAAGATATTACACAACTCTTACTCTTACACTCAGCCATATCTGTGAATCACTGTGTAACGATTTTAAGGGATTAGTGCCATAAACATGCACCTCCTCACTTCAATATCCAATCAAATGAGGACAGCAGAGTGTAATTATGTATTGATTACAGCTAACTATTGATTTAATCATCCAAAGCCTTATAATTATAATTCAAGGTTTAAAACCAATGGTCAGGATAATAGCATTCTGTGATGTGTTTACTTTGGATTTTCATATTATTTTATTAATGATTCTATAATCCAGAAGAAACATGCATCTAATGTTATGTATTTATATGACTTTTTCTTGTGTTGTTGTTCATGGATTATTAAGTAGGTCACTGACATTGAGCGTGTTATTGTGTTCAGACAACAGTTAAAACAGGCATCAGTTGGCATAGATGAAAAAAGGTGATATTTTGTTTCTGTGGTCCCAAAAAATGTCTTCTTCCTCACAAAACCTTCACCAATTATTTTAATTGTGGAAAAAATGGCAAGATCTGGGTGCCTAAAATAAACAAAACAGGAGTTTTGTATTGCTGCCCTGCTTTATCTATAAATTTACACTCTCTGGTTATTGACATGTTGTATACAAACAGAGACGTGATGCTGCATTGTTTGTGAAATCTGTCGACTCACGTTGCCAAATGTTGTGGTCCGTAGGTGGAGGTTACTGCTGGGCTCCACATGGCTAAAGGTTAGGCTGTTTGGCCATGATCAATAGGGTTAAGGTCATTAGCATGTTATGAATATCATGAGGCCCTGGGAAAGTAGAGCAGAGGACCAACGAACTGGACTCTGATTGGCTGCAGCCTGTCTCTAGGAGAGGCCACCCCCCAGTGACCCAGGAGGTCATTCAAAGAGCTGATGACCTCTGACCTTATGCCAAAAGGGTGATGGAAAGGTTTGAATAGACTGGACTGCTAAAATATTAAAAATGTGTGGTGTTTGACCAAAAAGCAAATAAACAGCAATATTAGCATTTTTGGAAAAATCAATACCTTCATGTTGTGACCTAGAGACTGTCCAATCAAATGCTTTCATGTTTCAAAACTTATGTAATGTTTGTTATTTTGTGTGTTTTTCATGTGTTGTTGCTCATGATTTATTGTTTGTTCCCTCTTACCGTTTTATGGTCTTATTTTTTAACAATTTGATTCCTGTTAAGTACTTTGTAAACTTCCTCTGTTAAAGGAGCTTTACTAAATAAACTCTACTTACTCATTTGTGTCCTGCAATATATTTTTTGGTAGCACTTCCTGTATTTTTATCTTCTAAAATCCTGTCATTACCTGGTGACATCATAACAATTCTCTAAATGACATCTAATATCAGAACTGTTCATATAACAAATCAACCAATTCCACTATTAATTATGACTATTATAAACACAATGGGTGTGTTTACATGCACACTAATATTCTGCTATTTTTTCAATTATGACAATATTTTGAATTTGATACAGGACATGTAAACAGGATAGTGTACAGAGATATTCCAAATTAGGCCTTATTCCAAATGTAATATCTTCTGATTAAGACATGGGATATGTTGGTATTATTCAGGTTTTAGGAGCATTCTTCAGACACACATACAACGCACTTAAATTCATCAGTGGATATAAGCAGAAACACTTATATCCACTGATGAATTTAAAGGCATCATACAGAATGTGATGACAATGAGACATGTGCTTGTTTTTCTCGAGAGGCCGCTATGTTTGAATAGTTGTTGATTTATTATGTATTTTTGTATTATATGTTTTATCTGTTGCATCTTAAATGTGTTTTGATTGGCTGCTACCTTGGTCAGGTCTCTCTAGTAAGAGAGATTTTCAATTTCAGTGGGACTTGCTGGTTATATAAAGGTTAAACAAATAAATAGATAAATAAAAATTCTAAATTTTAACGCAGTTTGTGAAACATGGCATCTTGCCTGTTTATAGTCAGTTCTGTGGGTGTCATGGATATGCTGTATACAAACTAGCTCACCATACTTACTTTTAAACATGATGAAAGACTTGGATATCAACAGATTCTTGGATATGTGCAAATATTGCATTGCTGGCCTTTTCATCAAGGTTGCTGAAGGAATGAAAAAGGGAGGCTGTGCTCAAACAGTTGAACAGTGGAAAACTTTGCAAATTATTTTGATACAAAGAAGCAAAATGGTACAAGTGGCTCCAACTGTTCCACTTTTCATAATTTGACGTGATAAACGACATGTTAGAGCACAATCAGAGTATGCACAGCTGAATGTAAACAGGAATATCAGTGGAATATTCATTTTCATTAGCCATGCAAACAGTTTGGTAGGAATGCTGTTTTCTTATTGGCGTAAGGGCAAAAACCAGAATATGTTGTGCTTGTAAACATACATTTACATGCACAAAATATCCAGCTTTATGCCAGACTGGACTCCTTGGGAGGCTTAACCACCTCCTCACTATGTGGCTCGACTCAAAATGCTTGTCAGCAGAATTTTTTCTGAACAAAATATTCCTGTTTTTGCCACTATTCTGAAGAAGACAACATTTCTACAGGCTATTAACATGTCTAATGAAAAGGAATATTCAATTTATATTCCCATTTACATGCAACAATGCATGATTAATATGCCCTAAGATGTCGTTTATCATGTCAAAATACATGTAAGTGGAATGGCTGGGCCACTTATCTTAATTCTTTGTATCAAAATAGGACTTTTTTCAGAGTTTAACATCATGGCAGACTTGTTGGACCGTGCGAACACAGCCTCGGTCTTTCATAATGTTTAAAGTAGGTGTGTTTCTCCTTGCTACCAGAAATGTGGGGTTTTCTTTTAGGCATGCTGCTCTACACCAGCCTTGCAAACTGTTGGGTACAACATGCCCATGATAATGCACAGAGCTGACTATAAACAGGCAAGAAGCCGTGTGTCACAAACTGCGGTAAAAACCCCAGTCAAAATGTATATTCCAAATGTGCTGTATATTGTCCAAAGAATGCTATTAAAAACTGCATAATAATGGCATATCACGTCTTAATCGGAAAATGCTACATTCTGAATATATAAAAATGAGAGAATGTGCTGTTTCACATGAAATTTAGGTTACTGTCATATTCAGAATAATAGTGGAATATTAGTGTGCATGTAAACGTACCCAATGACACTAAGTTCTGTAAGGTGACTTTTGCTCATGCTTTGAATCATGTTTTTATTTACTGCAATAAAATACAAAATCATCAGCAAGTACAAACACGTGAACATTCTTTAAAAAAGGTTTATTGGCTTTTAAAACCACTTTAAAAATCTCACCAGTGAGTACTTTCCATTGAAAAAAGAAACAACGCGTTTGCAATATTAACAAGCTACTGTACATTAAGCAGTACACCAGACAACACCACAGAGGAGGGTTTTTTTTTTCTACTGGTAGAAATGGACAAGATAGTCAAACAGAGTTGGTTCTGGGTCAGTCAAAGGTAAAGAATCAGAGTCACTGCTTGATGGAGCTCCTGTACTCATAAAGAGGTGCATTTCCTTCATTCAAATTCAAATATCAGTGCCTTTTTGTTAAAGAAAAGGTTACAAGAAAATGTTAAATTTCTTCACAAATGCATCTTGCAAAATAGGAATATGTAAAATCAACATAAAACAGTCATCAACAGAACATATAGAACAACATTAACTTAGTAAACAGCACACAACAAAAGTAATGTAACTCATGAAACTAGCACTGCCAGTCTGGTTAACAGAACCTGCCCAAATCACAGAAGACAGTGGTTACCAAGAATACAAAGTACAACAGAAGTCATCACACATGCGTGCGTACAATCATTTATCAACATAATGAGCATGTAGGTTTTAAAAGGTTGTTGAACTTTTTTTTCCCTCAATGCTTTATATTCTCATGTATGAGAATGAGTAAGAAATGTGTATCTCACTGAGATTAATGCACATTTTGCTACAAGACAATTAGTCATTTTCTGACAGTTAATTTCCCTACTCATCTTGTCATAAAAAATATTTTTTGTCTTTTTTTTGTGGGCATCCATCATTACATTTGTCCATAAAGATGTGGCAAAGCCATGTCATAAAAATTTAGTGCAATAATGTGAACCTCCAAAGTTTGTTGAAACATGAGTAATTTTTTTTTTCCAGTGTCTGCTGAAAGGCTTTGAGCACAATGTCTGTCACAGAGATGTTTGCAACCAGCTAACAGTATCACAACTTTTTTTTTTTTAATCTCAATATACCATGCTATTGATCCTGCTCAAAGCACACATCACTTCTGCAACTGCAGAGACCTATTATCTTTGAATAGAAAAAAAGTAAAATAAAATCAGCAAGCGAGACCAGACAGCATTACTTTTACGACACATTGAGCCAGAAATGTAACACACAACATACAGTATCTTGCCGACTATAGATCTGTTAAGCTTTTTTTTTCTTTTAAATGGCACATACTTAGCTAGAATAATGGCCATAATATAGTGTCTTGATACATCAAATCTCTATGTATCTATCCTATTTACAGATGGAGCTTAAACATGACTTATACAACATTGACAATAGCCAAAAACTCAAGCAAGCATCCTACTGTATCACATAGCCTACCTGGCTAGCAGTGATGGTTTCAACATGCTTTCAGGTCCATGGTTACCTATAAAACATAGGACAGTGACCATTTCACAAATTTACATACTGTACATAAGATTTACGCAACTTAACCATTTTTCCTCAAATGCAATAAAACTCTTTTATATCTCCGAGGCTGCCCGTTTCTCGTTGTTGTTGTTGTTGTTGTTGTTGTTAATGTTTACTAGGAGTGTTTCTATATGTAATAATCTCTTGCGTTATTCAAACAGATCATCTTTGGTATGGAAATAAGGCTGGATTCTCCACAAACATAATTTTGTTTCCTCTTGATCCCAAGATGACGTCAAAACATAAATGTCAGCCTCTAGCTTTCTATGTAACTAAGCCTTCTCCATACCATTGATATTCTTATCCAAGCTGGGAGTATAGCATGCCAAAACAAAAAAAGAAAAGAATCTCATGACTGAAAGTGTGCCTGCCATGGTTTATGGACAGCATATCAAATTCCTCTAAATCCATTACTGATAAGGGCACACACAGTGTAGTCGTTAGCCTATACAATACGCATCTATATTGTAACACTGCAAAACAAAAACAATAAGAAAGAGTACTGAAAATATCAGAGTAACAGCTGCCTTGATATGATGAAGCTCTGGATGGTTCTGAAGATTCTTAACATTATACTATATACAGTCTCTCTACAGATGGCATAAGGCCTTGGACTTTGGGAATAAGGCAGCCAGTTGTTGATTCCTTTCCGTGTATAGTCCACAAAGTGGCCTGAATTCCCATCTTCTCCCTACTGATTCATCTACTCCCTTTATAAGATATTAAACAGTACAAGAAGTATAGGCTTTAAGAAAATTTCACTCTTGGACAATGCTCAGATGTGAATCAGCGTTCCACTGATTTTGGTATATGATAAAGTATAAAGATTATGTCATAAATTCAGCACCTGGCAGCACAAGATGCTACCCTTTTTAATATTCAGATATGGCAGGCAAATGTACTACAACTATTATGTGCATATACTACAATCCCAATATTGTCTCCATTTGGTTGAACTTGAACTGCACACACTGAAAATAGTACACAACAGCATACTTTTTTTTTTTGGTCTTTTGTGCCAAATTTCCTACCCATCTCCTTCTTTCATTATGTGTTCGTTAAATACAAATATTGCATTATTGATTGGTTATAACATGGAAGATTATGTTTGTCTTAATGTTCATACCATACAAACCTGCTCTCTGTAAGTGCATGCTGCCACCACGTACTCACACTTTTTTTACTTGAAATGCTTACATCTCTAATTCCAGATGAGGGAGAGAAGTGGTTAAGTACTGAAACCGACGAGTGTGACGGATGAAAAAGGAGAGAAGTAACTAAATGTCAGTAGGAGAGATTTTCTGGTAAGCCTGGCACTTTTAACAGAACGAATGGCAAAGTCCAGACAAATCCCGACAAACTATAGTTTAAAAACAGATAAACTACATACGCACCAAACAAACAACAGAAAACAGAAATCATACAGAGTAAAAGATAACATTAGCCCAGCATCTCTACTGTAGTAGGCTGGTCTTTGCTTTCTAGCCAGTCAAAGCCAGAGTTCACAGTATCACTGCATATCTGCTGAAAAAGCGGGTCGTTCTTCAGTTCTTCCAGTGTTGAGTCTTCATATTGTTCCTGCTGCTGATTAGGGTCAAACAGCAGGTTGGTGTCCAACGTGTTAAGGTCAGTGATGCTACTGGACAGATCTGAGGTCAGTCTGATGTCGTTTGAGAAGTCAGACGCCACAGCGTTGAGCTCCGAAGCTACCTGACCCACCAACTGGGAACTGGGGTTGAGGCCATCGTCCCCCAACAAGTCCTTGACAGTGTTGTTGAAATCCAGCTGCTGTTGCTCGTCCTCTGTCTCCTGCTGCTGTGTGCTCTGGAGGAGGAGCTGTGGTTGTGTCTGCACAGGATTCTCCTGGAGCTGCTGCTGCTGCTGTTGCTGGTCTTGCTCACCAGGACCTGCTTGTGCTTGGCTGTCCCCAGTGGGGAAACTCACCTGTTCGCCACTGCTGGTGGTGAGGTAGCCATGCTGCTGGAGCTCAAAGGCAGCAGGGCTGGAGCTAACAGGCAGCTGAGTCTGGTGAGCTGTTCCCCCAGCGAAGCCAGGAGTGGTCTCCAGGATCTGTGTGAGGTTCATGCGAGCCGTGTAGTTAGAGGGGAGGTTGTTAATACCCAGGCCACGGACAGAATCATCCCCGTCAGCCTCCATCTTGCTGAGAAGAACGTTGGTGATTTTGGCGGTGTTACTCTGACCCTGCACAGGCAGCATCTCACTCTGCATCATGATGTTCAGGGGCACAGACTGGCTACGCTGAACCATGCTGTGGACAGAGCCGACTGTCTGGCTGTTGGACAGGATGTTGAGCACCTCGGAGGTGATGGGGGAGTTAAAGGGTGAAACCACGGTTCGGGTGGAGGTGGTGGTGGTGGTTGAATTGGTGGTGGTGGTTAGAGGGCCCGTGTTGCCACTGAAGTTTCTCTGGCGCACTGCAGGACTGACACTGCGGCAACGGAAAGTACTGGATGCAGATGAGGTGGATGCCTTGTTGTCTAACGGTGCTGGCACAGCAAAACTCTCCTGTTTAGTAGGAGTAGTTACCAACTGCTGCTGCTGCTGCTGCTGTTGTTGTTGTTGTTGCTGTTGCTGCTGCTGCTGTTGCTGCACCGGTGAAATGGGCGTCAAACGGCCAAAGTGAGCAGCATCCTGTCTCGACTGAGCCTGAAATGACTGGCCAGGAATTGCAAAAGCATGTGGCTTACGAAACTGGTCATCTACCAGGTCTTGGTAGCTGGGCAGGATGCCAATGCTATGGCTGGGCAACGGACCCGCAGAGTTGCTGTTGTAGCGGTTGTTGATCCACTCCAGTTTGGCCTTGTCAGGGTGTGTTGCCATTGGCCTCTGCATTGGCTTCACAGGGCTGCTGGAGACAATACTGGCGTCGTGATAACCTGTGATGCTTGAGTTAATAGGAGTGAACGCAAAAGGGTTCCTGCACTCCACTGGGCTTGGGGGGACGCTGCTGCTGCAGTTGGACAGTGGCGTGCTGATGGGGGTGTGGCGACCCATGGCTCCATCCACAGGTGTGATGGGAGCCAAGCGGGAGCAGGGACTCTCTCTTGTTAGGCTGTGCCCAAGCGTCATTTCAGAGGTGGGGGTGGGAGTCGGAGTTGGTGTGGGTGTTGGAGTGGGAGTCTGGACAGGAGTGGTGCTGCTGTGGGCAGAGTGGAAGAAGGTAGTGCCGGCCTGGTGAGCATTTAGGATAGAGCCTTGACTGCTGGCTGACTGGCCTTGTAAAGACACATCGACACAGCTACTAAAGAGACCCTTCAGCTTCATCTGCTCCTCCATTTGGACTAGCTCCTCCACAATGCTGTCCTGGGTCATGTCATCATCGTTGAACGGAAAGTAGTCCATGTTGGGTTGAGAACCTGCAAAGTCCACCATCTCCTGCGGGAGGGTGAGCTGGCCCGAGGCCTCGGAGGGTTGAGCTATAATGGAAAGCTGGTCAGTAGGGGCTTGTTTGTGTTCTGCTGGTATCTGCTGCGCAAACGCCTGCTTCCGAAGTTCGTCAAGCTGTCCCTCCTCCCATATTGTGCTCTTTAAGTCACTCATCACAGAGGCTTCGTGTGCTCCTGAGTTGGCTGGTATGGCATGAGGGTCCCCGGTGATCTGCCGAAGCAACGCCTGATCCGACGTGTTGTTTCCAGCTGCTCCGGTGCTGGTGTCAGTGCTGAGAGAATGGTCTTCACGTTTCACCACCAACGCCTGGGGTTTGACAACAGTCTGGGAGCCCTCAGTGTGTGTGATGGGCGAGTCAGAGAGTGCAAGAATCTGTGTGGGCCCTATGGAGGTGTGTTTCACAGTCACTTTGCAGGGGGCACTCTCTGGTCTGGCAGGGGTTCCCGGTCTGGGGATCCTCTTTAATGCAGCACTGACTCCAGGTTTGGGATTGTCAACTACAGCTAGTGGCTGCTGGGAGATAAACACCCTCTTTACAGGAATCACATGGGACTCTCCGCCTGGGCCTGTGCGCTTCCTGGGGCTCTTGGCATCTAGGCAGGGATCCTTCGATGTTGTGGTAACAGCGGAGGAGCCATTGGATGACGTGTTGCTATTCGAGTTCTGATTATCAACAGTCAAGTACAAAGTACTGTCATGGCAGTTACTGTTATTGCTGTCCTGAGTCCCAGCCACAGCTACCGAGATGGGAGGGGATGTGGGGTCACTTTTTATCCTTCCCCCTTTGTCTGGTCCGGGAGAGCACTTTATCAGGAAGCTTGGCTCACTGGCAGCCCTGAACTTAGCCATTCTCTCCTCTTTGGCCCCAGCAGCAGTTTTCTCTGTGCCATGGGTGGAGTTATTGTCATTTCCAGCTTCAGACACCACTTTGGTGTCAGTGGAGAGGACTGGGGTGGAGACAGGGGCACTGGGTCTGATTGCAGGAGACTGAGGGGCAGCCGAGCTCCCACCTTGTGACTGCTGGGAGTCGTCCGAAGCTGCTATGGTATTCACACCCGCTGAGGCAGGACGCACGGTTGTGCTGCTGCTGCTGGGAGCCAGAGCAATGGCCGTCATCTTCACCACGTTGACTGAGCTGACGTGGGGAGTTGGCATCACAGTTTTTATGGGGCTGTTGGTGATGAGCAGGGTGGGGGGTGAGCGCAGTGTGATGGCACTGGTGGCAGAGGGTTTGGGCAGAATTTGTGCGTACCGCGTACCGTGTCGTGCCAGCCGGTCACCCACAGGACTAGCTGAGATGTTCTGGGGAGTTTTGGGGGACTGTTTAAGAGACTGAGTGACTACTTGGAAGTTTACAGGCAACACTTTTCCCTCTGTTGTCCCAACAGGGCTGGGTGAGGTCATCAACTGCCTGCCTCTCTGTACCTGGGAGGAGAAAAGTGAGAATATACCATTAAATTTAGGCACATTCGTCAATAACATCTCTGAGCATAGTTAGTGGGAAAAATTCAGCTACATACCGTGACTGGGCTGGGGACAGCTGCTACCACGATGCCTATGGTGGGCTGAGGGGACAGCAGAGCAGGGCTGCCACAGGGGATGGTAGGGCCAGGGGTACTGGCCTCCGTTCTCTTGACTTGGGTCTCGCTGGGCAGGGGTGAGTGGAGCTTCTGCTCCTGCTGCTTCTTCTGGATCTTACGCTGCAATTGCTGCTTTGCATCAACAGAGGGAGAGGGCAGGGTCTTCACCTGGGGCTGGAAAGAGTTTGTCTCAGCTGTTGGCACAAATGCGGAGGCTGGAGTTGGCGTCTTCATTCCTGTCAAGAATTGTATTGAATTGAACACCCAAGAATTGTAATTAGCAAGGATACTGTGTTGGTGAGAGCAAACCAAGCGCTGCCAACAGTGATGGTTTCAATGTTTCTGGGCCTGCAGTGTCACATGTAAGTAAGGAAAAAATGTATCACAGTATCATCATGTATTTCAAACTAGCAAAAAGGTTTAAATTGAAAACGCTAACCCAGGGGTGTCAAACACAGGGCCTGCAAGCCAAAGGGTCTAATCTAGTCCACTGGATGACTTTGCACACCTATTATTGATGTACTTGTGAAGGATAAGTGACAGTGATCACCAACAAAACAATGACTACTTAATGCTGTCATATTTAACAATATTAAATATGGTGCAAAAAAATGTCACAGCAGCTTCAGTCCAAAAGAATCTGTATCAGATGTCTATCTTAAAATAATATTTGAAACCGTATTGCGGAGGCACAGCCAATTGATTTAAAAATGCTTTGTAAAGCAGGGAACATCTTAAACTGCTTCCTCAATAGCTTCCACTTTAGTTTGGTGTGGTGATGCCAGCGTTACCACACAGGGGTGGAAATGCATGGAAAAATGCACATGTAATGACAGGGAGTAGCAGACTGACTCAATGTGGAAAAACTGAGACACATCGTTGAAATTGCACTTATTTTTCCCCAAGACATCTCAGGCTGTTCATCATCTGTTTCGTAAATGGATGAATATTTTCAGAATGTACTTTGAATTTACTCTAAAAGAAGAGAAAAATTTGGAGGTGTTGTTATTTATAGGTAATTATGCAATGTTTTACTGGTCCAGCTCACTTGGGATAAAAGTGGGCTGGATGTGGCCCATGAATTAAAATGAGTTTGACACCCCTGCTCTGAACATTCAACACAAGATGGGTTTCATCTTTTAGCTTCCTTTGTTTAGTGGGAGTATGTCATTTTAGCCAGGTACTTATTATTTTCCAGTGATAGAGAATTCCCAAGTGTTGACAAAAGACAACATGATCTGCTCTTCTTCTTCAGGCCCAGATCTGACTGTTGAGGCTACCTTTTCATGATGAGCTCAGTATGATAATACATTGTCCTTGAATTCATCATTCATTTTGAAACACCTTTAAATCTAAAGAGTGCACAGACGGCAAGGCACAGACCTGTGGAAGCAGATGCGATGCAAGTGCCCTGAAATTAACGAAAATCATGTCGCACTTCCTTTTTAACCATATTCTAGGTTTATGTTCATAATCCTTTTTTTTGGCTAAAATGACATCATGAGTGTGGTTAATATAAGACATCGTTTATAGACGGCTGAATTAACCTAGTTACATTTTCAGCACCATGGACAGCTGACTACTGTGTGCTTACACTGTTTTGGGGGACACGTGCAGGATCACATGAGGAAAACACTTTTAAACCCTAAGGGTGCCGCTGAGGCACAAAATCACATAAGTAAACAAATCATAATCCTATTTTTAAAGTGCCTTTCTAACACTTCAATATGATGCTGTCAGCTATGATGCACACAGCACAAACTAATCTTCACAAACACACACAGACTACAGTGAAATGACCACACCAGCAGATCAGCGGACATCCTCACCTGTGGGTGTTCCGGTCATAACAGTGAGTGCAGCCATGGACTTAGTACCAATGTAGTGGCTATTGAGCAAGAAGCGGGCCAGGTCCTCCACGTTGTCAAACTGACGACTCAGGACCTTTTGGGCCCACTCACACACCAGTCCACAGGCTGCAGATCTCATTTCATCTTCAGCGCTCGGGGACTGGCCCGTCGGCTCCATCAGCTCACACTACAGAAGACAGCAGCAGGTGGATGAGCAACAGAGCATTTTAAAAGTGTAACTAGATATTTACCTGGATGGTTTAAAGTATTTTTTCTTGCAGTGTAACTTACCCCATCACCAGATTTCTGCAGATCCAGGTTGGGTAAGGATGGCATGTGAACAAAAGCTTTCTTCCTTATCCCGCTATAACAGTATGTGAGAAGGAGTTAAGGTGTCTGACACGTAATGACCCTGGACATGGTAATGTATATAATATGGTGGTTTGTATATGGTGGTTTTACATTGGGGGGGCCAAATTCATGGTTTGTATCTATGCAATCCCTTTCCCCTCTTTTAGGCCCATGCAAAAAGTTATCTTCTCAGAAAATCTGACAGAAATTGTAAATTTTAAGAACACCTCAAAGCCAAAACAACATCTTTTCAGCTTTATGTCGCGAAAGCTTTTTGCTTGTGGTTTTTGCATTTGTATTTGCCGAACTACTGAAGTTGAAAAAACTTCAACTCAGAGCAGAAAAGCACCCTACATTATCTCTGTATTCGTCATCTTTTTTTCCCATTGTTCGAAAGGATGATTTGAGAGGCGGGCCTTCTATGGTGGTCACGTCAACAAGTTTACAGCTGGTAAACAATGGAGGAGAAACTGGTGGAAGCCGTTGCTGGATGCACAGAACTATACGGCCCGACGATAGACAGTAGGTTGTCAAACTGCCCCTTAGTCATCCTAAAATATGCCTGGAAACGGTTATCATCGAGACGAAGCTCGTGGACCAAATGATCTAACCCTAACCCACACAGATCTCCGTTTCCCTGTCCCCAATAAACTAAGCGTGCCCACCGTCATCTACTGTGGGTAATACACTGACCATGACCAAGTACCTCAAACAACCCCACTTCAGAAAATCCAAACTATTCCTTTAACACAGTCACTCACTGCTAGCATAAAAAACCCATGATCCGCCTTGTCTGAACGCCAACACTACATGTCTTGTTAACTTGCTCACAATTTGAGGAATATAAAGGCAGGATTTAGCAAAGCACAGACAGATAAAAGCATAGGAGGAAGACAGGTTCGTCGGAGGTAAAGGATATTTGGATTTGCCCCTCATGCCCAGTCGACGTGCCTTCATGTTAGGAAAGACATTCTTCATGATCTTCCCAAAGTCTGCTGCACTCAGTGGATTGTAGCCGAGATTGTCACAATAGCTCCTGCAAGAGAAGAGAATCCTCCATGAGATTTAAAGTAAAATACATACTGTCCCCTTTTCTGTCACCCTTCACCTCCCCGACCACACAGCGAGGTCACACACTCACTTGTATTCATCATACACCTCTTGCTTTGGGAGGGAAGTCTCTGGGTGCTCTTCTAGGTGATTCCGTATCCAGTTGAAAGCATACATCTGTTGAGTACGGCTTGACGACATGGAACTCTGATCACTGAAAGTGGCACAGAGGAAAAATAAATCTGGTGAGGCAGTGTCCTCGATTTGTATGCATCATTTCTTGTTAATACAGAAACTTTAATACCATAATCCAGGAGTGGAGGACCCCCTCTCATTCTCAGTCCAAATGGGCAGAATTGGGGGGTTGGGGTGATGAATAGATATGGGGAAACAAATGAAACACAGACAGCTAGGTATAGCAAAAATCTAAATAGGTCAGTGGTTTGCTTCATAATGATAATCAATCAAACAGCTGAAAAACAAATGAGAATTTTGCATTAAAAAAAACTCACCAGTGACGAACAACCCCCCAAAAATGTCAAAAACGTAAAACTCAATTTCATTTTTGGGAGCTAGCAGCCTGAACTGTGTCTGCGAAGTAGCCAGTGGATAGTGACTTGAACTTTTGACAAGCAATGAGACAACAGTGCCAATAATGTAATGAGAGCCACGACAAAGCAGCCATGTGTGTGTGAGACAAAAAAAGGCCAAAGAGCAAAGTGGAAAACTTGCGTAAAGTGAGTGTGTGTGTGTGTGTGTCTGTGACTCACCTTTTATCATTGCCACTGCTGGGACCAGAAGGCAACTTAAGGTAGAGGTAGAGTTTTTCGATGTCTGTAAACTTCTCAACATCTTGCTGTAAAAATAAAATCATCACAAAAGAGAAAAAGATTACTTATATAAAACAAAGTAAAAAACTTTTCCCCCCAAGCAAAATCTAAATGTAAGCTCAGGGATGGGTACTAAAACCTGGTATTAAACAGGCATTGGTGCTAAATTATTGGCACCTTTTAACATTTTGGTGTAATTTATCACCAGGCTGCAGCCAGGGCCGTACGCAGGATTTTTGAAATACCGAGGTCATTTAGTCGTGGTGTACGTGGGGGGGGTCAAAAATTTTTGTCAATTATATATCAAAAGCCTTCAATCTGGTGTACTTTGACAGCCAAATTAAGAGGCTACATCTATAAAGAACTACACACATCATATTAGATTAATCCCATCTTATCATGTTTCTCTTCCCACTTCATACTATAGCGTAATTGCCTTTCACCAAACTTTGTTTGTGGGTATTTATAATTATGTTTGAACCACTTATTCTTTAGCAGGAAGTACTTCTCTTCATCTGTCAGTTGTCAGTTATATTAATTTTTATATCAATGAAAAAAACAAATCCGTGTTACTAAATTCTTACATTTTTACATGTATCTCACCATAGCAAGTTGGAAGTTGACATATTCTGCCATATATGAAGAGGGGAGACTCTCTGGAATCTGGCAATATAAGAACCATGATGCTGTCACATTCTGTCACTTCACAGCTGTCCAAAACATGTGGTTTGTGCCAGGCGGACATGTTTGCCAGTATTTTTTCATTATTGCAAGAAATTCCATTGACTCATTCACAAGTCAAAAATGTGTTTTATCTGAAATAAACATGCAATATTTATATCTAAGGTCATAGAAAAATAGTCAACCAAGTGCAATGATCTCCTCCAAGATAATATTTGCCACTTTGCAGTAAAAAAAAAATTCTGGATGTTTTCTTGTCGACATGATCTTGACTTACTTCTCTGTGCTCTGTGCTGCTCTTTGGCCTGACCTGAAAGTTTTTTGTTGTTGTTTTTCAGTTTCAGTTATATATTGGGGGGACATTTTGGGCACATTTTGGGGGGGGGTGACACATGTCCCCCTCAATGTATATGGTGACTACGGCCCTGTCACGCATGCATAATTAGGCTACAGTTGTCTGGGTGCGCAAAGGTGAAGTGCATTGGTCTTGTCATACAAAGTTTGATGGAGTGTCAACTGGACAATATGGAGATATTTGCATCTTGAAAGCCGGACTACAAGTGTGGATAGACAGGGAGAAACACACGCAAGCCTAAGACATGGTAAGATATGATATTCCTCACTATATGAAGTGACTGATAACAAGATCTGTATAATGGATTGTAAAGAAATTCGTCAGGTTTTTATTTTGTAGACAATTGATCTGTATTTATAGCGTGTTGGGATGACAGCACAATGGTGTGTGTGGTATCCTCGGAAAGCTCTGGTCCTGCACTTTCATATGATATGTGTGGCATTTCTGTGCGACCCTGCATTTGTGAGTAATCTATCTAAGAATAATGTGTGTGCAAAGCTGTATGAAAGCTGCATCGATCAAACAAGAGTACCAGAAATTTCTTTTTTAAATAATTGTTATTATAGAGAAGAGAGAGTCACTCAATCACCTTCCATCGGTCCTCCCATGTACTTTCACCGCACAAATGAAATGGTTTATTTTTATTTTCATTTTATTCATTCATTTAGGTCGGGAAAAAATACAGAGGTCATGACCTCAGTGTCCTCAATGGTAGTTACGGCCTTGGCTGCAGCCTCTCCTCTGCTCTCTGTGTCTGGGCTCAGCTCCTCCAACTACACTTGTTACTGTAAGTGTAAAGGCCCGAACATACTCGGGCGGAACGGACTCCACGGAGGTCCGTGCGGACTCAAAGCGGACGTCCGCAAGCCCTGTGCGCACAAAGCTCAGATTTTACGACCGCGCGGACTCCACTCCGCGCACCAGTGACTGCTCGGCATGTATTTTTCACATCGCAGGGATTTTTCACGAACATTTTTACAGGAAACTACAACGCGGAAGTGCACTCGACTATGGAAGCCCGAATGACTGCGGACATTCCTCGCGGAGTCCGTTCCGCGTACATTCCGCCCGAGTATGTTCGGGCCTTAATAAAGCCTTAGCGACAATAAATACTTCATCAGTACACCTGTTTAACCAGCACAAACATGTAGTAAAGCAATATTACAATCTGTTCTGTCTGTCTCATCAACTGTCACTATGTTTTACACAAGAACAGGGTGCTAGCTCGGCTAAAACAAAAGCCATCTGTATGTCGTCTAACTGCTTAGCTTAGTTTGCCAGGTATCATTAAACATTAAATTAGCTGTTGGATAAGAGAAACCAGCCCCTCCTCCCTCTCTTAAGATTGGTTTCCACTGAGATATTGTTCAGTCCCTCCAGGATTTTGCAGGGGTTTTTTTGCAATTGTTGGAGCCTGAAATGCCTGATTTCTCTACAGCTTTTGGAAAAAAATATCCAATGTTACAATGCCTTCTTTTAGGTTGAGGGATCAAGTGAAAATTGCAAAAATAGTTGTGATTCAGTTTTGGATTCAGAGCCAATCACTATGAGCATTCAGTGTGTCCCAAAGAATTAGTATCTATTTGTAACAATAGGGGGCAGCAGCAGCTGATTGCTGACTATCAGCTGTTGCTGCCAACGCGGTGCTGAGGGATCGTCTCCATGAGCCGCTCTCCTCCTGTTGTCTGTGCCCTGCACGGTTAGCACGAGCTAACACAGCAGCAGCGCCAGCAGCGCCAACCAACAGCAAGCCATTAAACAGTCGCAACAAACTCACACCAACACTGAAACAGCTCAACTCTGGTGTTCAGCCTGTTAACAAATGTTGGATTAGCCGCTTGATGCTCAAAGTTATCCCTTTAAATGTGTGTGTGACTAGATCTTAGGCATGGAGCTCTCACTCCTGCAGCAGTAGCCTCATGATAAACAGATTGGGGCAAGGACGTCAAGGGAATTAATATGCTGCATGCAGCTCTACAATGAAATACGAGTTTTTCCATTATAATTAGTCAAATTTGTGGTAAAGCTGTGGTGATTGTACAAAATTGCAATTCACAGCAATTCAATTGCGTTAGTTGTTGTGATTGCAACATCACAACATCCTGGAGGGACTGGTTATTGAGCTTAGATAGTGACTTTGCTGTTGTAAACATTATTTTTGCTGCTCTACAAACAACATTTAGTTATATTCAATACATAAATAAATTCTCATTCATTCAATTTCTGGAACATCTTATCCTTTTGGGGGTCACAGGGGGGCTGGAGCCTATCCCAGCTGACATTGGGTGAGAGGCGGGCTACACCTTGGACAGGTCACCAGACTATCACAGGGCTGACACATCGAGACAGACAACCATTCACACCTACTGACAATTTAGAGTCACCAATTAACCTGCATGTCTTTGGACTGTGGGAGGAAGCTTGAGAAAACCAAAAAGAGGTACAAGAAAAAGAACCAAATAAAGTATTGCTAAAGAACCGAACTGATAAGGAGTATCGATAAAATCCTAACTCATCCCTATGCATCTTCATGAGAGTAATAAGGGAATAAAGAAAGAAGACAGAAGTTGATCAAAAGACTGTAAATCTGATTTCAGGCCCTATTGTTAGCTCTTCACAACTGGACAAATAGATATATGCACACAGAAAATTTAGGCTATCTGGTTTTGAATTTAGTGCTGACTTTAAAACGCTACACAGGTGTGACCGTGACACACAACCTCCTTACTACTGATTCAAAACCCGACTGCTTTTCAACTGGTTTCTAAGAATGGACTCATCTTACCACTTTCCCTTTTCTATTTGTCTCTTTGTTGCTAGGGGAACCAATACTTGAATGAATGAGGTGAGAGCTGTCAGCCAATGAGCAATGAGAGAAAACGCTATTTACTACACTCCATTGCTACGAGTGACAAAGGAGCAAATTAGTCCTTCTCCACTTATACCATGATGCTTCAATCTTTGGCACCATTCATCCCCTTAAATGTTTTCTTGGATTCCCTAAGATGACCTTTACACCTGGCATCAAAACATATACCGGTAACCTAGGCAACCTCAGACATTTGATTTGCATAATTACATTTTCAGTTACACAATCACACGTATCAGATGTAGGAACCATCCAACGGCTACACAATGCAAGCACCACCTGTATATGGCACCAATATACATGTGGTATGTTCATTTTCAAATGACAGCTACACAAACAGACCTCACATTTGAATGTCAGTGTCCAAGGACATTATATTGTATCTCTTAATTATCCCTATGCTTTTTAGATGAATACATTATTCTCTTTTTTACAATTTCATCCATATATGCAGGAAAATGCCGCATGTTTTTTTCCTGGTTGCACTAGTCCACCATTGCTATTGGCTTTGCATGATTTTTCCATGAATGTGATTTAGTGTTTTGATTGTCAGTTGTTTAATTTATTAGATGAGCCAAAAACAGACAAAATTTTTCAATAAAAATTCCCCAAAAATATATTATACCATTACATATATGAAAATTTTGATATAATATTAAATATATGGTAATAGAAAATATTATCACTTTAAGTGTTCATACTATTTTGTCTCCTCACCTTTACATTCTATACACATATTATTAAACCGTATGACGATCCTGATATTTACCCCACAACACTATTTAGACACAATCCATGTTAGAAACACAGGTATATACTGTCAGGTGTAAAGGACGTCTTTGATTTGCCGCAGTCTGACGTGCTGTGTGCCACTGTGTTAATGTGTAACCATCTAAAGTGGTAAAAGGTTCATGTTTTATCAGGACTTGTAAAGAAAGGGGCCAAACCTGCCTGCTGAAATCTGTCAAACACCAGACAGATACAGGAACAGTTAACGGCCTGTATTTTCTCTTAGTAAGAAAAAACATGGACAAGCTTTATCATGTAGCTTTGATGTCACTGACATGGCTTTGTTGTTGAATACAAGGCGTGGGCCACTTCGGATTAATCCAGAACAAAATGTGTATAAATAGAAAGCTTTTACACATACACACATGCCAAAAAAGTTGTTCTTAAAACCAATCTATGTGTATTTACAAACCAATATAATCAAACTACGTTCACTACTTTTATTCATCATTGTAATGTAAATATTAGGTGAGCAAATTTAAGCATCATGGTTCCAGTGGAGTAATTTACAATCAATAAGGACAACTAAGTAGGACTGGGCGTTATGGAAAAAAAAACAAAACAATCGCAATATTTTTGATAAATAATCATGAGTAATGTGGATATAATGACTAACAGAGGTGGGAATCACCAGAGGCTCCACGATACAATACTGTAACAACACATCAATCACTATACAATATTATTGCGATTTAAAAATGTGTTGCAATATGCTGAGTATTGTGATAAAATATATTGCGATTTATTACCTGTTTTCAGCTGCAACTAATGTCTCCAAAGCAAAACATTGTCAACTTCTGTTTTATCTATTTAATAAGTTTTCAGTCTGCTCATCTCACTTCAACCAGTTTTTGTAGCAACATGTATCTAGTAAACTGAAAAGCCACATATTTAAGTAGGTTACCTACAGTTTAACATGCAATATATTAAACGCAATACAGTCTTAGCACTGTGTGACGATAGAATATTGCCACACAAAAATATCGCAATTCACAATTTTCCCCCTACTCCTAATAACTAAGTGGGTAAATAACTGAACAGCTAGAACAGTCTGGTAGGTTCATAAAATTCTATCACTTAACTGTAATGCAACATTTAAAGCCAGGAAAACACTAATGCCATACTGCCACATCCAAAATCTATAATGATACCTGGTCTCGTATTGCAATATTGATATAACGTTGATGTATTGCCCAATCCTACAACTAAGCATGAAACATACATTATCATATCATATTCTTTCCTAACGAAAGCTGAACTGCACACCTGTTTCTATGAGCCACCAATAAACAGTTACATGTGACTTCCTGATGATGGGGAGCTTGTAGGTAACAAACAACAAAGACTTGTGTGTTGTGGATACTCACCAATATGCTGTCCACTTTTGATTGTACAGATTTGCTACAATGAGAAAGAAAGCAAAAAACAGAAATGACATTAAAGATGATTTAGATTAAAATAACATTGATACATGCAGGATTTTCTTATCTTTTCAACTAATAGGCTAAATATGATAACAATGATGATAACAATCAAACAGGAAATGTATTAACATTTAGAAGTTCTCTTCTACCACTGTATTTTTAATGTATCTTTTTAAATATCCTTAATCATGATACAAAATTGGATGTGTTTTAGAAATGTTCTGCATCACCATGCCATAAAATGAGTGAAATCATGACAATGTTTCATCTTTATTCTCTATATAAACTCAGATATGACTATAAGCAGTGGCTTTGTAAAGTATTCAGACTCCTTCGCCTTTTGAACTCTTTATTGTGTTACTGATTTAATTCAAAATGGATTTAATGCACTTTTAGGCCATCAATCTGAACACAATAAACAATATTAAACAGCGAAAACGTGTTTCGTACGTTTTGCAAATTTATTTAAAAACCTAAATTTCTCGTTTGCACCAGAATTCAGTCCATTTATTCAGAACCAGCTTTGGCACAAATTACAGTTTCGAGTCTTCTTCCTGGTAGATTCTCTACACTTCAGAGGGGAGTGTGTGATGTGTCATCTTCAGGTCTCTCCACAGATGTTTTTTGGGTCTCAAGTCCAAGCTTCAGCTGGGTCACTCAAGGACATTCAGAGACATATCCCAAAATCCACTGCAGCTGTGTCTTGGCTGTCGGCTTTGGGTTGTTGTCGTACAGCTCTGTGTTTGTGTGCACTCTGGAGAATTTTTACTTCAAGGTCCTTCTTGTGTTTGGCTGCATTCATTCCTCCGCAGAGAGGCACCTCCACAGCATGATGCTAACATCACTCTGCTTTATTGTAGAAATGGTGATGACATGTATGAAGCACCTGTGTCCTGAGGCCACTGGGCTGTTTGTCACCTCCCTGACCATGACTCTTGTTGCCTTGAGTTGGATGGCCAGCTCTAAGAAGAGTCCTAGTGGTTCCATACTTCTTCCACATCACAATGATAGAGCCCAGAAATGGTTTCATACCCTCGCCCACATTTCTGCCTTGACACAGTTCAATCACGAAGGACCACAGAGAGTTCCTTGGACATGACGACTAGTTCTGAAAAGCTCTTTTATAGGAACCTTAAACACACACACACACACACACACACACACACACACACACACAGGTATGTTTCCCTTTTCAAATCATGTCCAATCATTTGAATTTGCCACAGAAATCCTCCAATCAAGCTCCAGGCTGTGTCCTCATTCACTGCTCCCTGTGCAACAGACTCAATAGCTCATTGTACAGTGAGCAGTAAATTAAGACTTTGACTCTTATGAATTACTGTCATTTTGCATCACCATCGGGAGGTGTAGTGTTGCACCACTGAAATTATGGCATCTGTAAAATGCAATAAACCGCACTGGGGCATCCATGACATGGAAACTATCTTTTTTTGCTCCATAGGCCTTTTTTTCTCCACACTGATGTAAAAGCACAGATGTAGATTGGAAAAATGATTGATTTGGGGAAAAAAAAATATTATTGTGATTATTTTTGACTGATATTGCATGGTAATTATTTTGCAATATAAGAGGAAATGATCATTTTTACATCTTTATTCTTATTTTCATTAAAAAAAACCCATATAGAAACAATTTAAGTGTGATTTTTGCAACGATCTGTATCAAACAAGACAATGTATAGGCCAGGACATCAGTGCAGCATGACAATGTTTCATTTATAATGGCATTATGACAAACATTTCGCTTTCAACAAATACTGAGCCTCCTGCAGTAGTCCATAATGCATTTACAATAAAATTACGACTAACTGTTCCACCCAAATAACATTAATACCTCTAATGCCAAGACCCTGAAATTTAAGCAGCTAAATGTTAAGTTGTAATTGATTTTATTATTTAGGCCTACACCTGTGCCTTTCTTACTGTCAAATAAAGGCCAGTACATATTTCACACATTTCAAATTCATAATTCAGACACGAATAATACGTTGGACAGTAAATATACTGCATCATTTAGCTGATAACAGCTAAAATTAGATTGCAGACACATCCCCAGAGGCATCTCAGGGATAGTAATCAAAGCAGGTGCACCAAAGGATGCACAGCAGAGACTCTGACGACTTAAGTAAATGAGCAATTTCATTTTTAGACATGTATTAAACATGAAAAAACCCTTAAAAACAATTTTCTTCCTTAGTCATTGTGAGTTATTGTGCAAGTACATTTAGTTCCTTTTAAATGACATCTGTAAAGTGTACCAATTTGTGAATGTTTCTTTCCAAAGCCACTGCATAATATAACATCTGATGTAGATAATAAAATGTCAGGTTTTGTCAATCACAAGGCACTGCATGGTTATGGGAAATCTAATTGGGTTTTAATAATTTCCAAAGCCACTGCAGAAACTAAAATGTAACCCATTGTGATAGGAGTGTATTGTGTTGTTATTAGCTGTATTAAATCAGTGTGAGGCTGTCTGTGTGTGTGTAGCTGTCTGCTTTGACACCTGTCATCCTGAGCATCAGCACCACCGGTGGATGTGGTGTCATCTATCACATGGCCTCCTATGGCTCGATGCTAATGATTAGAGCTACTCCTGCTGTAAATACCTGCACCTTAGCGTCTTAGTAACGCGTACACAGGCAGCAGGCAGTGCAGCTTTCCTCGCTGTCATCGCATTTCCGTGAAATATCGTGGGTTAGCTCGGGAGCACTCGTGTTATTTCCAGCCGCTTTGTGCAGCACACAGCCTCCCTGCCACTCCACAGCTAGATACGCTAATTATGAGGCTACGGCTAGCGAAAAGGACAGTGTGGCTGCTCGAGGATCATTTCCATCCTTACCAAATTGAATTCTTTATTTTGAACTGTAACGCGTTAGCCTCGGGCCCCTGGAGTCCTGGCACCAGCGCTGGAAGAGAGCCTAATCCCGAGGCAGGCTTCTGACCAGGTTGTTGTTGATCATCAGCCATCGCGATGGAGGGGTGGTGGGGGAGCTTTAACAAGTAGGCCTCATCCCCGGCTGTGCACTGCACCGGACCCACCGCTGCTGGAGCGGCTCAGTCAGCTAGGACAGCCCGCTGAATCCACCACAGAGCATGGCTACAAACACTGAGAGCTGACCCTCGCGAAACACAAAACTAAACCAAAAAAAAACACCCGGGAATACAAAAGGCATTTCGCAGAGGTCTCTCCGCTGCCGCAAATAGCACGCCTGCAGCAGCCAGCAGCAGCTACAGACGAGCTGCCTGCGTCAAGTCACGCGCAGGTAGCACAGACCACACCGGAAGTGCACGGGGATTTTACCTTCGAAATAAAAGCACAAGATTTTTTTTTTTTTTTGTATGTCTAAAGCAACAGGGGTGTCAAACTCACTATGGTTCATGGGCCACATACAGCCCAATTTGATCTCAAGTTGGCCAGACCAATAAAACCATCGCATAATAACCTATGAATAACAACAGCTCTCATTTTTTCCCTTTCTTTTAATGTAATGAAATACAAGTTCATTCTGCACAGCAGGGATACTCCACTTTCTTCACCCGGGGGCCACTTTTGCAAAATGACAGGAGGGCAGGGGCCACTCACAGCAGCCCCACACGTGTGTAATGTTGTGTTCACACTAAACGCAATGCAAATGTTTGAACACTAGAATATTTTGTGTTGAACCGCCTCATAAGTGAGAATAACTGGTGTCATAGTCACATGAAATTGCTGAATCGATAATTGAACTTCCAACGGTACATCCTCGGCATCATACGTCCCGGAGGATCTCAATGCTGATTGGCTATTGCGGCGTGAACTGGTAGTTGAAGTTCAGTTTTTCAACTGTCATGAAATTGCGCTTCATTCATCCATTTCGCATCAATTGCGTTGTGGGAATTCACATCTAATCGCATCTTTAAATTGACTTTACATGTAATTCACTTGGCTGAATTGTTTTATTCGTACCCAGCGTGAACACAACATAAGCGTAAGACACTCAGAGCTTAGTCCTGACTTGTGTTGAGGGGTCTGAGAGATCCTCCTCTGGCACTTTTTTTGATAAAGAAGCTGTATTTTGATGCTTTTTTAATGCACTCTGGCACCTTATGTAAATTAAAATGACAAAAAAAAAAACAATGTTAAATTTTTTTTTTTGGTTTGGGGGGGCCACCTGGCACCCTATCAGGGACCACATTTGGCCCACGGGTTGTAGGTTGAGTATCACTGCTGTATAGAGTGCTTCAGGGGTGATATTTTTCTGTTGTTTGATGCGGAAGTTAGCATCGCGCTGGTTTCCTCATCAAAAAGCCTGTGGGATTTTTCCATTTTGGATTATTGCTGTAAATAAGCTCTGCGGCCAGCAAACATTTATGATACATGTTTTGTTCAGCGGGATGATCTTCACCAGTGAACACCACTTATATGATTACTGAAGCCTAAATGCAATCACCAGAAGTAAAAAGTTAACATGTGGCTATAAATGAACTTCACTGTGGTTGCATGGCCTAATGTCACCAACATGACAAGACCGTAAAGCCGTATTCAGCATGGCTCACATCACGAGTGGGGTATTTACTGACTCATCTATGTCGCATGACAAAATATGAAAGTCTCTCAAGCTTGTGTTAACCACAGACCTTATTTCAGGCATATAACAAAAAAAACATTACAAAACCCATTGACTTTCAGACAAGGGAACCGTGTAAAATGATAACTCATTTCCAGGTGTTAGGACTCATTCCTCATTTACTTTATATGTTCATCTGTTTACAAACAGAAACAATATTCACATGCCCATATGAACATTTATCATTTCTGTCATTCATACTGGCAGTTCAAGTATCCCTTTGGGGGACAAACTCTGTAGTCCTTGTCCAGTACAAAAATTAATTCAAAATTCATCTGAATTTAAAAAGTCTTCTGTAGTACGAATAAGGCAAATCAGGTGGGGTTCTTCCAAAGATGCAGTCTTATTAATACAGGGTACCCTCTTTGCCTTTGCACCATGGTTTCCACGGTGTTTTCTTGGAGATAGAATCAGAAGAGTGCATGGACCAACTATGAGACAATGGGCTCCTGGGCACAAATATACAAATGGCCCCAACATTTTCCTACATAGGCGCAAGACAAACAGACTTTATCATGGTTTTGCCTCTTTTATGTTGTTTTGTGACTTTCTCAGGGAATTTTCCATCTCTTTTTTGATGGTTTTGTGTCTCTTTGATGTTATTTTGTGTCTATTTGTGGTCATTTTACATCTCTTTGTGACTCTCTATGAGGGTTTTGAATTTCTTTGTGGTGGTTTTGTGTCTCTTTGTAATTATTTTGTGTCTCTTTTCGGTTCCTCTGCACCTCTGTGTGGTCAATATGAGTCTCTTCCCAGTCAGTACATGTTTTTTCAATAATGGATCAACATTTCAAGTGCTTTACTTACCATGATAATACTTACTGATAATACAGACAGGCCACTTCTTCAACCAGATAGTCCCAGAAACTATAGCTGAAGATTTTAGTGGGAACCCAGGGGACATGTTCTCCTCGATATTTAGAACATGTCTCCCACAATTAAAAACATGAAAGGAGCAGATGGATTTTTATATTTGACATATTCAAGACATTTAAACCATGAATTGAGACAGAAAAGGAACAAATTGGTGCATAAAAATTCACCAGCATGCAGAAAAGTAAGTGTTTGATGCCTCAGAAAACTCCTTTTCAGGTGAATCAATGATAAAGACAATCATCAGCTGCAGCCCTATTTGAAAGTAAATCCATGCTTTAATATTTTCTGGTTACTGGTGTCCGCATTCTTATAAACTGGCAAAAACTTAGAATCCCTTGTTAAATAAATGCACCCCTGGTCTGTTATGTTTCCTGTTATTGTGCATGAGATGTTAAAGGTGTTTTAATTTAAAAGCCCAGACGGGGAGTTTAGTTTTTCACTGTGTTTCCTGTAACTTGACGCTGGTGTGCGCGCTGCAGTTCCGCTGTCACCCGGCAGGGGCGCTGCTGCAGGAAGCTGGTTGATCAGATAGTGACAATGACGGGTAAACAGCCAGGATGATATCACTTCTACATGTAAACTGGTCATTTACTAGCGCGTGTATTCATCAAATAATCAACCAGTATGTTTCCATCGATGTATAATCCTGTTACACTGTCGGTGAGGAAATGCTGAAACACCAAACAGATTGTTCCAAGATGTGTCTTTGCTCATCTCACAGCTTAGCTACTATTTTTTCCTTCGGCTGAAATATGAGACACAGCTGGCGGAAAAAAAATAACCTGAGAGGATGAATTAGATTGAGACTGTCTGTTCTGGATATAAATACAACGCTCACTTATGTCACACCAGTAAACCCTCTGTATATCACCCATATTACACACGTGTCCAGTTAATGTGATTATAATAACTAATAATAACCCACTAATAATTAATAATGTTTTATATGTCTCCTTCATGAAAATATAAATGTGGAAATTCACAGGAATGAAGCCACCAGGTCAGGAAAAAAACGAGACCTAAATAAATGCTCTCATCATGGCTTATTTTATGCTGCCATCTGTTGATGGAAGGAGGTAATGTTACTCCACTGACACCACGGTCATGAAACATAATGCAAGACAGAGATAGACTCACACACACACACACACACACACACACACACACACACACACATGGGAAAGGCATGTATGGACATGTTTACAGTGACCCTAAAGATAAGAATAACAGGAACAAGTGGGAATAATGGAAATGTTGCTACTTGGTTTCTGTTTGTTTGCAGGATTTGAAGTGTCTCTGCTTTAGTTTAGTTTATTTAATGTGTCTCAGTACATTATGTAACTGCTCTGCTGTTTGTCTTTTGCAGTGAAGTGTTTCAGAGCACAGGAGTGGTGATGGAGTCTTTGACATGATCCGAAGCATCAGGTCAGACATCAGGGTGTACAAACGTAATATCCTCAGAGGAATGCAATTAAACAGGCTACAGTTAGGCTTCACAAGTACTTCTTTCTACTGTAGTACACTGAACAGTGATGTATTTTACTGTAGTACACAGAATGGTTACATTTCACTGTGGTATGTGGTACGGTGAGGCATTTTACTGTAGCACACAGTATGATAAAGTATTCTACTGTAGTGAATGTTACAGTAAAGTACTGTGGTACATGGTACAAGGACGTTTTCTACTGTAGTTCATGTTACACTGTAGTATTGTACTACAGTACATTGTATGGAGAAGTATTCCACTGTAGTACACACTGCAGTGACGTATTTTACTGTGGTACATGGTATGTTCAGGTTTTCTATTGTAGTACACAGCATGATGAAGTATTCTTTTGTCATACATGGTATGGAGAAGTCTTATACTGTAGTACACTGTACGGAGAAGTCTTATACTGTAGTACACTGTACGGGGAAGTATTCTACTGATTAGAGTGTTTCCATTTTAGCCTCCTTTATACTTCTGCATCAGTACAATTCAAAGCAAATTATTGTACATTTTCTTTCACTACATTTATTTCATAACTCAAGTTTCTAGTCACTGCAGGTTCAGATTTGTAGCACTAATCAACTAAAATTAAACTAAAATTATTATAAGATATCCAGAAATTAGTTGATATCATCCCCACATTTGCCAGGTACAACATTAAAGAGATGCTCACTGCATTTAATGCATACCGATTTCTAACAATATATAAATATGATATACGTTACTCTGAGATGAGCCATTCTGCATTATCAGTAGGCTTACTTTTATTTTGGTACTCTAAGAGGGTTATATTTTGATGGGTAAAGGTGTCGCTCAGTAGTCTTGGGCAGTATCAAGGTATTAGAAAATCCTGAATATTCAAAACCATCAAAAATACACAAGCTCGTCTTTCTGTTAAACTGATATGGAGATGCTGTATTTAGGTGTTTTATTGTAGTACACAGCACATGCCACCAGAGATCAGTCTCTACTGATGTAACAGGCAGCTGAGCTGAATTAGATGATTCCAAGTGGTGGGGGAAACATTACAGAAGTAGTAAAAAGCCAGTGAGCAACGCTGAAGAGAGACAGTGGAGAAAAACAGTGTGTTGAGCCAGCATATTTCACTTCTACCCACATATACATGTAAATATGTCCATGATCACTACCTGTTAGGCGGACAGTTTCTGGTTGGAATTTTCATGCCATATTGCCCAGCCTCCTGACTTCTATCACCAGCAGCTCAGCATTAAGTTTTTTAATTTTTTTTTTTTTTACACAAATACCATCATAAATGTCAGAAGGGTGTGAAGGTGTGAAAAAATAGACACCGCCCAAGCCTATCACTTAGTCACCTCATGCTTAGTTGCATGAGCTGCAAACACGCCAAGAAGTCACACTCATTAAAAAATGTCACAAATG